GCCCACCGCCCCTCTGGCTGGAATGACCATGGACTATATAGAGCACGAGCTAGCCTCTCCCAGAATCTTCAACAACCACCTGTATCCCAAACACATGCCAGAGGGCGCCACAGACAAGGTGAAGGTCGTCTGTGTTTCTAGAAACCCCAAAGACATCGCAGTATCCATGTACCACTTCAACAAGGTATCTCCTGAAATGGGCTACGATGGCGAATGGAGCGATTTCCTTCCGCTTTTTCTTGAGGGAAAAGGTATGTGATCTTTACTAAATGACAGAAGACGGGATTTGGACAAAAGTTAGGCAAATTTACAAAATTTACATGACCATTGTTTTGACCTTATAGACCATAGCATTCAAACTATTAAAAAATTAAAAAATATTTTTACTCATTAATTTTTGTTAGCCATTCAAATTCAAACCCTTTAAAAATGACTTCAGTAAGCATCTTGGAAGAAAAGGTATGAGTTAACAAAAGAAAAGGTTCAGAGGAAAAATGAGGGCTTTTACGGAGCCCCGCAGGGGTCATTCAAATTTTTTTTATCTCGTGCGCTCGACTTACTATCTCGAGCGGCCGACTTACTATCTCGAGCGCCCGACTTAATAACTCGGGAAAGTTAGTAAGTCGAGCGCTCGAGATAAAAAAAAATTTTTTTGAGTGATCTCTGCGGGGCTCTGAAGGATTTGGAACCAAATGATGCAAAAAAAGTTGGCTCCATCGGCAAATTTTAAAACCTTTTTGACCATTTTTTACCACTTTCTATTAATTATTTATTGTTAATTTAACAATGTCGCGGATTTTTTGCAACTTTAATGTTATTTTGCAGGACAGTGACATCCAGGTTTAGAATTACAAGTATAAAATAGCTAAAATAAGTATTGACTTTCTCTTTCGGCCAGTATGTTGTTTCACACCTAAACCAAAGTGGATAATTGCATGATATTTGTTGTGGTCCAGGCATCTATAACTCCTGGTGGGAGTACACCCTGCAGTGGTGGAACGCGGAGAAGAAGAATCCAAATATCTTGTGGCTCACCTATGAGGACATGCAGGAGGTAAAGCAGACCATTAATAAATAAATGAAGAGAGAAAGAAGAGTGGAGAGAAAGAAATGAATGCACGTATGAATTAATATCTGAATACATGACTAATTGAACGAGTGAAATAAAAAATTAATAAGTGGAATAATAAACAAATGAAAAATATAAAATTGAATGACATTGTTGTTAAATGGTAACTATTAAAGGGATCATTCAGATTGAGAAGAGCTGAGTGCTAGTAAGGCCGCGACCTAAATATGGCGGGCACAGTAATTAAATATCGGCTCAATTTAGCCGGTTGAGGGACAACGCGTGGGATGGCGTGTGAGGGGCGGAGAAACCATTACAGGATTAGCGGTCTTCCTTTCATGTAGGGCCGCCATATTTAGCTCGCGGCCTTACTACATTGTATTACTCGGCTCTTCTCGATCTGAATGGTCCTAAAGATTTGTCCTCAGCGAGTTTAAGTATATGCACTTATAATTAAAAACCATCGTACTACCAAAGTGTAAGTTAAAAATACCATAGAAATTATAGATAATAATTGAAATATTTGCTACCTATGACTGGACTTGAGTGAATAATATCCACATATCCAATGCCACTTTTACATCAAGTAAAGTAAAGAATCTCGGTGCCGATGACAACAACGTAATAAAACATGCCATTATCTATAGTATTTATCTACTGCATGTATACTTATACAATACCTAGCCGTTAAATTTCTGAAACAGCCATTTTAAAGAGACAGCTGGCGCTTTGTCAAAATCAGTAGTGTTATTTTCAGTATAAAGCAGTAATTATGTACATCAACTTCTAAAATCGTTTTTGTTTTTCTCCAATATCTCAATGTCTGTATGTTCTTAATGCCCTCATCATTAGAGAACAATTCATTAAGTATTTATATATATTTATAAGTTGGTTAACAAGCGCGACCGACCCTAAGAAATCAGATATATTGGCATCTATATATTTTTCTTCAAATGGAAAAATTGCATTGGTTAGGTATTTAAGTTGGAGAACCCTCAGGTAAACCTTAATGTTGCTGCTTTTATGCTCTTAAATTGTCCAAACTAGTAGGGTTTTAAAAATATAGAATTTAAAGGACTTGTTTCTTTAACTTCAGGATTGTCTCCAGCAAATCAAACGCGTGGATCAGTTTCTGGGCACAGGGAGAACCTTGGATTTCATGGAAACTGTCAACAAACGCTGTTCATTCCAGTCCATGACGAAATCTCTCCAAGCAAAACACACACGTTTCTTCAGAAAGGGTTCGTATTTAACACATTTTAGAAACTGATCAAATTTTCTTCAGAAAGGGTTCGTATTTGACACATTTCAGAAACTGATCAAATTTTCTTCAGAAAGGGTTCGTATTTGACATATTTCAGAAACTGACCAAAGAAAGGGTTCGTATTTGACACATTTCAGTAACTGATCAAATTTTCTTCAGAAAGGGTTCGTATTTGACAGAAACTGGCCAAAGTTTCTTTTGAAAGTGTCTCTGACAAAGACATGATGAGAGCCATGCATGTAATAGAACAGGGTGACAAAAACTTGAAAATGATATCTTGTATTACCGGTTGGACAAACTTGTTCCCAATTAGTTATCTAATTTCTTTACTATATAGTTTCTGTAACGTATTACGATACTTCATAGGTTTGAACCACGGTCAAGTAATGTTTGAAAGCAGCCTTCGTAAGCTATAAATTCTGAATTTTCCTGTCGTAAACAATTTTAGCTACAATCAAATTTCATTGCTTTCTAGGTGAAGTTGGAGATTGGAAAAACTGGTTCACTGTTGCCCAAAACGAGGAGTTTGACACCTTTCACAAACAGAAAATGAAGAATTCCGACTTCACTGTCAGATTTGAACTTTGATTTTCACCTTTCTAACGTTTTACCAATGCTTTGTATCTATTTACACGTTTCTTTATTAACATAATGTATATAATCGTTGCTTTAAGGCAAACTATGCATATTGCATTTTTTCACAATTGCTATAGCCTTTAACATCAACATTCCTGCGGGGAATTCCATATATTTATCCTTTATAGTCTGGAGAAAAGATTTATGTAAGAAATATGCACATCTACTGATATGAGTAGAATGAAGAATCGACATCTTCTAACGTCGGTGACGGAGGTTTTATAATTGTATGCACAATCCTACCCTTCCAGCACAAGCTGCCCCACATAAGACATTCCTTATGCGCTTTTTATTTGATGCGAATTTCTTCGTATTGACTGTTATTTGTTATTATAGGCCTTTTATACAAGTTTGCTGATATTGTGTATGATCATTCGTCGTGAAGGCTGTGCTAGTTTTAGATAAAGCTTTGTGTAATTGAGAAAGCAACAAAACTAGAATTTTTTTTTGTATTTTGTTGTAAATCGTGTGACATGCAAGTGGAAAGGGACAAGTCAGACACTATGGGACCGTTCACCATGACTTTTGTCGACGTAGCTTCATGTAATGCGCACAACAGTAAATCTACGGGACTCTTGCTGAATACAATCAGATTAAAAGACTAATACACCTCCTCCTGGCGTTGAGTTGAATATAGAAAAACTGGCTATTATACAAGGTACAGATACGTTTCATACGTTTTAAGCCACCTCAGGCCAATCAATGAAATACTTCATGTATGTTAGAGAACATAATTGTCATTGAGAGACCATTACTGGATTCCTTTCATGTTGGTCCGCCATATTTAGGTCTCGGCCTTGCTAGACCTCGGCTCTTCTTTATATGAATGTTTTCTTACAGTACATGATGTTTCATCATCATTTTTACATGTCAGGAAGCCCCGCGGCCCTTGTGATTGTCATTACAGAATTTGTTTCCATTGCTGAGATGAATCCTTATCAAATTATCACATTTTGTAACTGATTCACATCATATGGCGTCACCCCGTGGTAATTTCAGATTACGATTTGTGTAGAACCAACAGAACATGAAAAGTTTTTTTGGGTGATTCACACGCTGACAGAATTACTGCAGTTCCAACGAAAACCAGTTTTAGTTAGATTCGAGAACAGTACGAGGTCACAGATTACCGGTCGTTGACCTTAAAGAGTTAATAAATCTCCCTGTCATGTAACAACATATTATGCCTCCAGGGGTATGAGCAGACGATTTGTTAACAAAAGAGATTATACTGAGTATAAAGCCGGGTACATCTGTAGCCTACAACGTAACGGGAATAGGAGACTGATAGTCTGTACTTAACCTCCAACATCAGGGGCTTCTAAACTACATGTAGGTTACAAAATTAAAGTATATCAGGCCTACCCAACTA